TACTTCTACAACACTCCGGACCGATCGTCATCATGGGTGATTTAAATCGTAATTTACTGAACACCGCTAGTAACGCTGCAAAGGACCTGTTAAATGAGATGCTCCGATCGCTTCATCTACACCAGTTTGTCAGAGAGTTCACTTTTTTCCTCCGGGTTGCTTTTAGACGTGGTTATTTCTAATTTAGATAACGTCGTTCAGCGTGTTGGAGCTTTCACCGCGCTTTTAGCCCTCACCATTTTGTTTGCACGCTCTTAGTTTTGCCAAAGTGTCGTGTTCAGCCTCTCCGTATCCATACTGACCGTTGAAACGAAATGACCACGTTTGTTTGCTTTGTGATTTCCACCATGCCGACTGGTCCGATGTTTTCAGGCGTCCATTAGCCGTTGATATGTGGTCCCATTTGCTTGACTGTCTTATACCGATCATCGACAAACACGCTCCGATCACACTGATGTCATTGAGGAATCCATGCGCAGCAGCTGTCAGCCCGGTGACCCTTGAACTTTGAACCATGGCACAGCGGAGGGGCGTGTTGCGTCGCGAGGGGAGATCGCCGGCTTTCCGCGAACTGGACCGGAGGGTGAGGTCGGTGATCAGGCGTGACTGCCGGGAGGATGCTGAGAGGAGGCTGCGTGAGCAGGGGAGCGGTTCTCTGTACCGCATTATTCGCCCGCTGTTAAGGGCGTAGTGCTCACAGCCTCCCAGCTGCGACTCCGGACGAGATGACTGATTACTGGGTCAATGTCGCCGCCGTGTTAAGCTAACCTGGCTGGTCCCGGACAGCCACCTGAAGTGTTACAGTAACCTGGATGGTCCCGGAAAGCCAATGAAGGTACCAGCTAACATGGCTTGTCCCGGACAAGCCCCCTGAGTTTTCAGCTAAACCGGGATGGTCACGGACGCCACCTGATTGTTACAGCTAACTTGCTGGTCCCGGACGGCCACCTAAGGTTACAGGCTAACCTGGCTGGTCCGGACAGCCACCGAAGCGTCACAGCAACATTGCTTGTCCCGGACAGCCCACCTGAAGTGTTATAGCTATACCTGGTGTCCCGGACAGCCACATGACGTCCCGGTCACATGATCAGGGAGGGCGTCACGGTTTCCGAGGACTGGCAAGACCCCTGGAGGGGCCGCCCGAGGCTCACGTTCTCCATGAAGAGTTATGGGCGTGTGACTGATGACGTTTGTATTCGTATCCTACTCCTCTGTTTTTGACGTCATCGGGCCCTATTTTCTTCATATTGTCAACACCCTGCCTCACCTCCTGCTATTTTCCCGATACTGGAAGCCACTCCCTGGTTCATCGTATTTGAAAACGGCGATCCAGCTCTGGTCTCCAACTACCGTCCTGTTCCCATGGTCCCTATCACAGTTAAGATTGTCGAGCGTGTGGTGCAGCACCAGGTGTCACCTACATGTCCGACAATCATGCTCTGTCCTCATCCCAACAGGGTTTTCGTCCCGACATTCCACTGAGACTGTTTTGCTTACCGTGACCAATCGCATCTTTTCCAAAATGGATTGTGGTCTTCTTTCACCCCTGTGCCTTTTGGATCTCAGATAATGTTTCGACGTCGTTCCTCATGTTCAACTAATTTCCGAGCTTCAGCTCTATAGCATTCACTCGGCTTGGTTCTTTTCCTATGTTTCTGGTCATTCCCAGTTAGTATGCATCTCTTCTTCTTCTGGTTATAGTTTGGTCTCCAAGGCCCTCCCCGATGTCATGGGAGTCTTCCAGGGGATCAGCCCTTGGTCCTCCCTTATTCACAGTCTTCACCAAGTGACCTCAGCCTGCACGCGATGGACGCTCATGAGGCCCAGTACGCTGACGACACCCAAATCCTCATAAACGATGTTAAACGCAACCTTCCTTCCCTCATCCAACGCATGGCAACCACCCAGTCCTCCCCTCGCATCGTGGTTCCATGCCCATACTCTCAAGCTCAACGCCTCCAAAACCGATCTCCTTCCCTTTGGCACCCGACAGAGCACCCTCGAACTCTCCCCCGTCAGCGCACGGGTCGGTGGGGAGACGGTTCGGGAAAACCTGACCATAAAAACTTGTAGCACGTCAGAATGCGGTGAAAACTGCATCGGCGTTCTGATCAGTACCCGTCACCTGAAACATTCCCTCCCGCAACAAGTGTGCTGTCCATAGTGCGGAGTCGAGTCACCTCGCGTGCGAAATACCGCAGTTCGGTTTACAGCCAGGGGTCAGCTGCTAACGAAGGTCAGACTGTTTCAAGAGGTCAATTCCCTAGCAGAGTAGTTACTGGCCTATGAAAACATGACCACGTGTCTCGCGCGCAGGATGGCCTGCACTTTGCCACACCTCGCCAAATGCGTGAGGTACAAGCTGTTATCGCTGCGCACAAAGCTCATGAGCGAGGCGAACCTGAGGGTTTGCCTGCTGGCTTCAAACATACGCTGACGCACGGACCAGTGACCGAACTACACGCATGGGCCATAACCTGCGCCCCCCCCCCCCCCGTGGTGCGCGCGGCGGCACGACAGCGGTACTTTGCATGCCGAGAGGCGTCTCTCATTTAGTGAGTTGCCTGTGGATGTTCGACGACTGGATTCACGAAGTCTTAAGCGTGCTGCCAGGTCCTTTTTTGTGCGATAGGGCAGTCTCATTTGGTTTATGCGTGCATGCGTAAATGTGTTTTTATCCCTTATCACTTTCAGCTGTTGTTTTTTTGCATGCTTCTTTATCCCTCAGACCAATGGCCCTTAACAGCCACGTATGTATGTAGTGTCAGTCGATGTCAAATGCGAATGCAAACACAAACCGTGTGATATCACGAGGAGTCCTGATTTTCTAGTAACGCTAGCAACTGGCGAAGCAAGACAAGGTTTCACAGATCCACTTAAACATCAAAGTAGATCTTCAATGCGACAGCATAAATTAAGCTTAGTGAGCGACATCGGGTAGTGCCAGGTCGCCATTCGTAGCGGCGGCTTGCGCTCCTCACGCACGGCCACGCGCGCTGCCCAGGTTCCTGCAGCACGCCTTGCAGGTGGCGCCGGCGGTGCGCGGCGACGCTTAGCCGCACCAAGAGCCGCGCGCGGGCGCTGGCTGCGGCTCCGGCCGCCGGACGCCGGTCGCCCAGCCGCAGCGCGGGCGGGCCGCGACGCGCCGACTCCTGGCGCAGTCGACGGCGGCGGCCGCGGCGCAGCGCCGGCGGGGGCGGCGCAGGCAAAAGGTGCCACCGCCGTCCCCATTCGTCACACCAAGATTCGTCACACTATTCGTCACAGCATTCGCCTTCGCACATACTGAAGCAAACCAGTCCAAATCATCATACTACACTCGCGAAAAATGAAGACAGAAGCCTTCGATGCAGCAGTTAGATTCACGCTCCTATGCATATTAACGCAAAGAAAATCGGTGCCACTGACCTGCACAGAACATAAAATAAGACTTCATAAACGCGATTCATCCGCCTGCGGATGCTCGACTTTCTTCCACCTGTCGGCTTTTCAGATTCCCATCTAGTTTCAAAGTGGCGGTCCGCAAGGGAGCACGCCTGCGGAGCGCCGTGGCGATGCGCCATCTGTGTAGCCACGCAGCTTACGTGGTCTGCCCGCCCTGATGGCTGCGCTGGGAGCCGTCGGACGGGAGCACGCTACGCCAGCGCGGGTGCACACCGAGTGGGTGGCCCCTTCTTCTTCACGTTCGGCAGCTCCTGCAGGTAGATCTGTCTCCGAGCGGTGAGAGATTCGTTGACGAAGAGCTGCTTCTCCGGATCTCTCCTGCGCTGCAGCAAAAAGCGGTCCGGTAGATGTCGCCACGGACGGTGCCCGCTCCGTGTGCTGCGGACTTGGCAGTCTTGCGGGTTTTCGGATCCGAGCGCTGGATACAACGTCTCGTTTCTCAATACGAACGTTGAGAAGGCGCCGTCTGATGATATGTGCTAAGACAGATGTTACGTCTTCTGGCTTGTCCCTGTCTGTTTCGTCCTTCTCAGGTGCGCTTGGCACTTGGACGGCTGACCCAGACAGGATCAGCGTCTGCAACCGGAACTCAGCATCGGTGTCGTCAGGACAGTTCATCGTATTATTGAGGCGGTCGTCAACGACCGCCGCATTACGGAATTGATTGTAGTCCCATCGTTTTTCCTTCTCGCGCTCTTCCATAACCTGGATTCGCTGCTGCAGTCTGTTGCAGATTTACCGCTGCTTTCACCGCAGTTTTAAACATTTTCCTTCAACTGTGGCTGTTCAGCTTGAATCACGCCCCTCACTTCTATAATCTAGACGCGCCGATGATCTCGGTGCAAACCATCCCATGAATCTGCTCTGCCGAGTCAGCTCTCGGGAACGCATGGTGTGCTGCAACGCATATTCCGGACCATCCTGGTCAGCAGCTCCGGCCAGCTGAACGCCGCGCCGGGTCAAGGTCAGTGCTCGGCCCGGCCACGCTGGGCACAGCTGACCGTCGCTCCCGGCCGGAGTCAAGGTCGGCCGGGTGACCGGCCTTCGTTCGGGGCGGGGTTGAGCTTGCCCAAGGGATTCGCCGGTGTTTCTATGGCGTTTCGAATGGTATTGTTATTTTGTCTCCACTTTTCACACGACACCCCTGGTAGAAGAGTGATGCGGCTCACGACCTTTATGGTCGGTAATGTCATTGCCGCTTAACGAGCCTCAATCGCTCTCAGTGCAGCGTTCTTATCCCCTCGTGTTGGACACGCATTACATTTACGCTGCACGTGACTAGTCATTGCGGTTAATGCGCGCTGCGTCGAAACAATCTGGGTGGGGGAGGGAGGGAGCCAGCAAACCTAGAGCACACGTTTCCGTCGCCACTGTTCGAGCCAGTGAAGCCCAAAGCACACGTTTCCGTCACCACTGTTCGAGCCAGACAGAAGAACACTCCGTGGTGGAGCGACTTGGCGCACGTTCGACCCTGACCGTGACCTCCAGCAGGCGCCTACTGAACCTTCTTAATCTCCCTGTCGCTCACAGACGGCGTTCTCGCGGAGAATTCCGAGTTAATTCAGCAAATGTATTGGTCGCCTGCGCGGGCACAAACGAGCAACAGGTCAATATGTACATACCATGGGGCCGCGCAACACATGACGTACACAATGCACAGCCGCTGCGGCCAGTCCGGGACGCCGCGTCACCCCGCGCCGGGCAGCCGGCGAGGTGCCCGTACAAAACAACACGCCTACAAATGGAATGACTTTGTACGATCCGGCCTGGTAGAGGCGCGCGCGGCAACGGCTCGGGCGCCGACCCACGCTCGCTTCTCACGACCCGTCCTGCGCGCACCACGGCACACACCACACTCCCTCTCACCACCGCTCCTGCGCACACCACACGCACTCAATAAATACCGAGCAGCGGGGCGCGGCCGGCGCGCAATCGGGCCCGCCGAGCCAGCCGGTCCGCGTCCGGGCCGGCTGCCGGCGGCTAGTCGCGCCGACGCCGCGGATGTCTCCTCCGCGTCCGGCGCCAGCTCCGATGGCAGGCCGCCTCCTCCCCGTCAGCGCAGCGACTTGGCGTCCTCCTTCAGCTTCCAGAGCATCAGGTCCATGCAGGAGACGGCGTCCTCCGCGCTGTCGTGACCTCCAACTGCGGCGAGCACGTAAGGTCAGCACGGACCGAGGCAGGTCGGACCTCCCGGCTGATCTTCAGGACGCCAGCAGCACGATGTTGTATGCACTCAAATGAATTACCCCTCACGAGCGACAGCGAAAACATTCGCTAAAACGCACGGCCGAGAATGCCTACGCAAAAGACGAGGCACCAGTGGATGGGGAAGGGAAGGACGCAGCGCGCACGTACCATCGTTCTGGATGATGCGCTTCAGATGGTCAGAACACAGGTTGCGTAGCGCGCGCTTGTAAGGCCGACCCATCTTGTGCGGGAACACCACGCTCGTGTCCACCACCGTGGAGTGAATCAGCTGTAACGGCGGGTGACGCGGTGTATGTCAGAGCAGAGCCGGGTGGGGCAGGGCGGGGCGGGGACCGGACACAGTGTCGGCAGGCGAAGCGTCCCGGCCGGCGGGGATCGAACAGACCCCGCTCGTGCCGGGGGTGCGGCGTCACATCCCCCACCGCTGGCGTCTTTCGCTGCAGAACGTATCTAAAATGCATGAATTGGTACTACATATATGTTGAGGCATACCTTGGCAATCATTACGTAACTGATTACCGTGCCCAGTTATGAAGAGACGAGACAAGATTCCTTAGTAAACGGACCACCAGAATGAATGCCACAAAACACAACTGCTGTCGGAATGCGAGACCAAGCGTTGCACCGTACCTTCAGTGCCTTAAAGTCGCTCTCGAGCGAGTGCCCGATCAGTATGGTCTTGCTGCTGAACATGTTCAGCAGCACAGCCTGCACGTCCCGGATCGTGGTGTCGACCCCCTCCATGTCCTCCTCCTTGATACCGCTGAACCTGAGGTCAGACGCCAGGTCAGCCTCCGGCTCCATCTGCGCGACTATAATGCCAGTACAAACACGTGTGCGAGCGGACGGGCCAAGCTAAACAGCAGAAACTGGAAGGGGAATGAAGGGACAATGCGGCTGCTCAGAACAGGACCCTTGACTGGTCAGGCGCGTACTAATCGAAGCAGCAGAATAAGCAATGAGGTTTCCGCTCCCGACCCGACCTCGGTGCGCCACCACGCCACCTGCAGCCCTCCGCTGGAGCCTGAGCCTCGGCATCACCCCGCGCGGTGGCGCGGAGGCGCACAGCGCGGCCACCGCTCAACGCTCGCGGTGCGCCCACTGCTCACTGCTCACCGCACGCCGTCTGGCCACCGCTCACCACTTAACGTGCACCGTCTGCTTACCGCTCACTGCTCACCGCCCACCGTCTGTTCAACGCTCACCGCGCGCCGTCTGCTCACCGCTCACCGACTGCTCACCGTTCACCGCACGTCTGGTCAACGTTCGCCGCTCACAGCGCGCCGTCTGCTCACCGGGTGTTGAAGTCGATGACAGGACTGTCCGGCTTGACGAGCGACTCGTACACGGTGTCGCCGTCCGAGTTGATGACGGTGATGCGGGTGAGCTCTCCACCCATCTGGGTGTAACTCATCTCGCAATCCAGCGCGAACACGCCGTGGTTGCCGTCGGCCGGCTCTGCGGGGCGGCAGGGTCGGTCAACACGGGTGATCCAGTCACCAGGGCTGGCAGGCACAGCCAACAGGGGTGGGGGTCACACATTAGGGTCATCGGGGAGGGGGGGGGGGGCAGTGGCAAGGTAAGCGTCCGTGGCATGGCCCTCCCGACACGCGCTAGCCCTTCAGCCGAGTCGGTGGAGACAGCGGTCACGGAGGGCACGGTCACGCCATGCCACTCTGGAGGAACCGGCACAGACGTCTACACCGGAGCACTCACCCGGCTTGTCCATGGTGGCCATGTAGCCGACCAGGTTGTCCGGGTCAAAGTTATCGGACACGTGACACGCGGCCACGCAGCAGCCGTCGGCCGGTGCCTCCTGCGAGCAGCACGAGTACCGCTTGTCGCCTG